TGTTTCTTCTTTTGATGATGCAGCAGGCAGCCTGTACGAATTGGTTTGGAACAACAACAAAATATCAAGCGCTCTCATTTTAATTGTTGGTGCTCTCAAAGTTGTGGTGCACATATGCCTTTTAAAATAAATTATTGTGGACTAATTCTACTCGAAAAAGGTGGTTCTTATCGCTCCAAGGTCTTCCAATCCAACAAGGAATAATATGGCTTATCCATGCTTCACTGGGAGAAGGATTTTTATCCTTGGGTGTCTTGATAAAATTAAAAGACACTTGTTAATGGCACCAAGCTTTGAGGGGACCAGCTAGAGCAAAGCAAGGCCTTTGGTTTATTATGTTTTGCTGAATGTAAACAGAAGAAAATAGAAGCCCGTGGAGATGCCAAATGGGAGCCTCGATAAGCGATTGTACTCTCAAAATTCTTTGAATATTTTGCCGAGGCTGAACGTGATGCAATACTTATTGTGCATTGTGATATGAAGCCAAGCGATGCATTACCAATTTCGCTGGTGGGCCATTATGGGGAATGACAAATTATTCGCACATTTGTCTTCCTCTGCCTAAAGAGTAACATGACATTGTTTAGAGCCTCTCACCATTCTCTGTGTTCCCATATGAAAAAAATATCTGCCATTCTTTTATTTCAAGAGAGACCATATGATTTTGTTATAGGAAAATGATGAAATTTAGAAAGGCACAAGTCATGGCTACTCTCTTACTTTCTCCTGCAATCCAAAACGTTAGCACTTAGCCAAACAGAGTGACTCAAGCGGCATGGAAGCCAAATTTGATAACCGAGGAAACAGTAACCAAGTCAGTGACGCCGGAAGCATAAAAGCTCAAGGCAAAACAGAAGTGCCTCGTGCTTTGCTTACAAGTCCAGTTGAATACAACTAATGGTTTGCTCCAAGATTCATCCTCAACTATCACTGTGCAAGCCCTACTTGGACCAAGACTCATGAAGTCTTTCAAGTCCCCAAAATCATGCTTGGATACAAATGCAGTATTAATGATCAAATTAAATTAATGGGTTTATCAAAATTGCCCATTAGTTTTCTTTGACATTGACAATAAAAAAGTTACAAAACCATTCCAAACTTTTTCCCATGGGTCATCTACCCATGCAAATTTCAATGAGATTAAATTCAAATATCTCAAACACAAATTCTAAATTATTGGGCCACACTTACCCATTAGTTTCTAATTTTTCCCATAGGTCATCTACCTATGAAAATCTTCAAATCGTCTCAAAGACACCAATTCCAAATTATTGGGCCACACTTACCCATTAGTTTCTAATTTTTCCCATAGGTCATCTACCTATGAAAATCTTCAAATCGTCTTAAAGACACAAATTCTAAATTATTAGGCCACACTTACCCATTAATTTCCAAATCTTGGAACTACGTCGGTTTGATCTCGTCAAGAATACGTAGGTAGTCTAACATCACAATAGACGCAACTGCAACCAAATTTAAATCTCTGGTTTATCTTAACCAAATTTTGCCAAAACACTTTCCCAAATGCAATTGTCAATTTTTAGGAAAAATTAATGGGATAATTAAAATTACTCATTGTTTTTCTTGGACAGTGACAACAACGAAAGTGGTACAAAACCATCCAATTTTTCAGGGGTCATCTACCCATGAAAATTCTAATGAGATTAAATCATCCAAATCTCTCAAACAGAAATTCTCAATTAGTGGGCCACACTTACCCATTAATTTCCAATTATTCCCATGGGTCATCTACCTATGAAAATCCCCAAAATGTCATAAAGACACGAATTCTCAATTAGTGGGCCACACTTACCCATTACTTCCCAAATCCCGAACTACGTTGATTTGATCCCTTTGAAAGGGTATGTAGGCAATCTAGATATTCAATCTAGGTGCAACCATCTCAAACACAATTCCATATCGAATCCCTGGTTTATTCAGCTAAATTCACTCAAACACTCTTCAATCTAACTAATTCGAATTCCCCCTTTGCGATGAGTCATCTATTCATTGCGAATCCTTGAACTACGAGTGGCTTGATTCCTGCAAGAGATACGTAAGCACTCTGAGGTTGGACTTGGGAGCAGCCGCAAAACCAAACACACGTTCTGTTTCTTTATGATGGAATCAAAGGGTTTTCCCTTGTAGAAAGGGATTGTAATTAGGAGATTTGCGTCTCGAATGAGTCGAACCTAAAATAATAAAACCCCATTAATTAATTAGGGGTGGTGAAATTATGTTGGGAGGTTCACACTTTTCCTTCAACAATGCTTGAATACAACTTGAGCTTCGAAGGTAACAAGTTTAAAGAAATAATTCCTCTTCAGCAACTTGTGAAATGAAGATGGTACACCATTCTGCTTCGATTTTTTCTTATGCCTCTTGATGACGAGAATGTAATAAATGAAATTAAACCGTAGGATACATATCTACTTTTAGTTTCACAAAATTTTTTCAAGGGGTACGTGTTCTGATTAGACAGTAAAAAGAACATCCCTTCAAAGGATCTCAATCATCTGTACTGCACAGATATGGTAATTGAAAGGAAAAAAAGGAGACAAGGCAGTGGATCACACAACAATTTAGTTTCCCAAACCACAACTATAGAGTATCAGGAATGTCTGCATAGAAGGGGAACATCTCTCCATCCAATTCTGTAGCAATTACTTGGATTAATGGCGACTAACAAAAGTGAAGGGCATGAATACTATGGAAAATCAGGAATGTCTGCATAGAAGGGGAACATCTCTCCATCCAATTCTGTAGCAATTACTTGGATTAATGGCGACTAACAAAAGTGAAGGGCATGAATACTATGGAAAATCAGGAATGTCTGCATAGAAGGGGAACATCTCTCCATCCAATTCTGTAGCAATTACTTGGATTAATGGCGACTAACAAAAGTGAAGGGCATGAATACTATGGAAAATCAGGAATGTCTGCATAGAAGGGGAACATCTCTCCATCCAATTCTGTAGCAATTACTTGGATTAATGGCGACTAACAAAAGTGAAGGGCATGAATACTATGGAAAATCAGGAATGTCTGCATAGAAGGGGAACATCTCTCCATCCAATTCTGTAGCAATTACTTGGATTAATGGCGACTAACAAAAGTGAAGGGCATGAATACTATGGAAAATCAGGAATGTCTGCATAGAAGGGGAACATCTCTCCATCCAATTCTGTAGCAATTACTTGGATTAATGGCGACTAACAAAAGTGAAGGGCATGAATACTATGGAAAATCAGGAATGTCTGCATAGAAGGGGAACATCTCTCCATCCAATTCTGTAGCAATTACTTGGATTAATGGCGACTAACAAAAGTGAAGGGCATGAATACTATGGAAAATCAGGAATGTCTGCATAGAAGGGGAACATCTCTCCATCCAATTCTGTAGCAATTACTTGGATTAATGGCGACTAACAAAAGTGAAGGGCATGAATACTATGGAAAATCAGGAATGTCTGCATAGAAGGGGAACATCTCTCCATCCAATTCTGTAGCAATTACTTGGATTAATGGCGACTAACAAAAGTGAAGGGCATGAATACTATGGAAAATCAGGAATGTCTGCATAGAAGGGGAACATCTCTCCATCCAATTCTGTAGCAATTACTTGGATTAATGGCGACTAACAAAAGTGAAGGGCATGAATACTATGGAAAATCAGGAATGTCTGCATAGAAGGGGAACATCTCTCCATCCAATTCTGTAGCAATTACTTGGATTAATGGCGACTAACAAAAGTGAAGGGCATGAATACTATGGAAAATCAGGAATGTCTGCATAGAAGGGGAACATCTCTCCATCCAATTCTGTAGCAATTACTTGGATTAATGGCGACTAACAAAAGTGAAGGGCATGAATACTATGGAAAATCAGGAATGTCTGCATAGAAGGGGAACATCTCTCCATCCAATTCTGTAGCAATTACTTGGATTAATGGCGACTAACAAAAGTGAAGGGCATGAATACTATGGAAAATCAGGAATGTCTGCATAGAAGGGGAACATCTCTCCATCCAATTCTGTAGCAATTACTTGGATTAATGGCGACTAACAAAAGTGAAGGGCATGAATACTATGGAAAATCAGGAATGTCTGCATAGAAGGGGAACATCTCTCCATCCAATTCTGTAGCAATTACTTGGATTAATGGCGACTAACAAAAGTGAAGGGCATGAATACTATGGAAAATCAGGAATGTCTGCATAGAAGGGGAACATCTCTCCATCCAATTCTGTAGCAATTACTTGGATTAATGGCGACTAACAAAAGTGAAGGGCATGAATACTATGGAAAATCAGGAATGTCTGCATAGAAGGGGAACATCTCTCCATCCAATTCTGTAGCAATTACTTGGATTAATGGCGACTAACAAAAGTGAAGGGCATGAATACTATGGAAAATCAGGAATGTCTGCATAGAAGGGGAACATCTCTCCATCCAATTCTGTAGCAATTACTTGGATTAATGGCGACTAACAAAAGTGAAGGGCATGAATACTATGGAAAATCAGGAATGTCTGCATAGAAGGGGAACATCTCTCCATCCAATTCTGTAGCAATTACTTGGATTAATGGCGACTAACAAAAGTGAAGGGCATGAATACTATGGAAAATCAGGAATGTCTGCATAGAAGGGGAACATCTCTCCATCCAATTCTGTAGCAATTACTTGGATTAATGGCGACTAACAAAAGTGAAGGGCATGAATACTATGGAAAATCAGGAATGTCTGCATAGAAGGGGAACATCTCTCCATCCAATTCTGTAGCAATTACTTGGATTAATGGCGACTAACAAAAGTGAAGGGCATGAATACTATGGAAAATCAGGAATGTCTGCATAGAAGGGGAACATCTCTCCATCCAATTCTGTAGCAATTACTTGGATTAATGGCGACTAACAAACGCAATCGGTAGGGCTTCCTTGTTATTCTTTGTTTAATAAATTTTTAATTGTATTTGTGGTGACTCTGAGTTTTCTTTCTCAAGACCATGGAGACACTGGTTACAAAGCAAAAGCAGGTAGAGATGTTGCTAAAGGAGGCGAAGGAGCAGCTAAAGGATCTGATGAATGAGCAGGAGAAGGAGGAGGAGAATCCAATGGAGAAATGATAACTAATGCCTCTCTTTCCAATATTATGCTTTCCTACACCCTAAACCCTAAACTTAGTGGGTTGTTTGTTTGCCCTAATTGTTTATTAATTAGATTTGGTGTGTACCGACTCGGATATGGGAATTTTATTAATTAGATTTGGTTCTATTGTTGCGATTACCTGTTTTTGTTTTTTTGTAAATTGTCTCTCACTTGTTTGGTTTTAAATATACATTCACAGTACTTTTCTCAATAATTGACATACGAGATAGCCAATTGTAATCTATACCAATCCTCTTCTTCAATTCTTCCACAAACTTAGAGGTTATTTCATATATAATTTGGAGCAATAAAAACCGTACCTACCACAATGATTTGAGTGACAAAATAATAATCTCATAAAATAACGGTTATTGAAAAGATAATTCTATTATAATTCCTTTATAAGGTTGCTTCAGTATAAAGGAAAGCATAACAATCTGATGGAAATAGAACTCTAGGAGTAAAGATGATGTTAATTTGTAATATATATGACAATAAAATAAATATTCCATCATGTCGAAAAATAATCTTTAGAATCGCACTTGTAATTGGTGTTGGAGAAGACTGTCTAGTAAATCAACATGGATTTTCTCTTACCCTTCAGCAATTACTGCGTGCATTGTGAACGAAAAGATTTTGCAAGCAATGCATGCTTTATTCCAACCCAAATATGCTAATTCATGCATCAATGTTCAAAGATGTGGAGACTCAAATTGTAATTATGCTCACGCAAACTGATCTGGTTATATTTTTAACGTTCTCTGCTTCTCTCTCCTCTTAAGGAATTGAAAGTATGGGAAAATCTTGTATGTATGATCCGTAATAACACGAAAATATATCACAAGGTCGGTAATGAGACGTGATTTAATTTCCTGTTTTATTTGTATATTTATTTCATTGACTTGGTATATATATTCCTTGTCTCTCAAAGACTTGATTCTTGCCTAAAATAGGAAATCCTTTGTGTAGACACCAAGCAAAGCATTGTATATAATTATCACACGATTGTTCAATGAAAATCATCGAGAATACTCAAAACCTTTCAGTCGGTTTATGCTGTCCACGGCAGCAGTCACCCACTACTACAATATCTGGGTTTGGGAACAATTATCATTCGTGCTTTTTAATGCAAAAGGCTCAATTATTTGTGCCCTATGAGGATGGCCACAGTGCAGCCACTTTTGAATAGTCTGTTTCCTCAATAGGAATTTGACAGAGTTTCCTCTGATCAAAGGGCATGATTTTGCTTTGTCGTGTCTAAAAACTCAATACTTTTGAGCACGAAGGATATCATTCTTCTGACAACATTGAGAACAAATTGTGATTTGCCTTTGTACTAGTGTCACTTTTGCACACAAACCATTCGTGTCTAAAGTGTTTATTTATTTTATTTTAAAAAAATAATAATAGCAATTTGCGATCTCACGCATACAGATTGGGCCATATACTAACAAGGTAAATGCCCTACACTGAATTAATTCTCATTCATACATATTACAGGATCCAAATTTTCATTTCATGTGCAAGATAATGAGGTCATTCAACCATACACCATATTTTCTCATCGACAAAATCACATTCAAAATTGTACTCGAAAAGAAAATATTGACGAAAAATTTATAAATATCAAGCATCCAGTATAGGGCATGTGCATAACAAATTACAAATTCCCCTTATGTATAAAAATTTATAAGTTTGTATCACATTCAGCCATGATCATGACTTAAATACAACATTTAGGTTGATATCAACCTCAAATAAAAACTGAACGTAGTACCAAAGAAATATACTAAATTAAATATACAACCCTCTGAACCTTGTCAGCAGCCTAAATGTTATGAAGATTGAAGACCTTGCCAAAATCAAGTGCATCTAGCCCAACCAAAAGTTCCAAAGTTCTTATCAAAACCACCCAATAGGGCAGGTTCTCCAACCAAACAACCAAACAACCAAATCACTAATCTAATTCACATATGAACCATCTACGGAATATCACTGAAGTCCAAGAATACATAATATTCATTTACATAAACAAAAAAGAGTTAGAAAGTCGCTGAACAAAAACTTACGATTACTTTATTGGAAAAAGAAATTAAGAAAATCAATTAATCATATCAAAGTTGGCTTGAGCAGTTGAGAGAAAATGGTTAAGAAGTGTAGCTTTTTAGGTACAATAAGACCATGGGATGGCTATAGATATTGGTAGATTAGAATATAGATTAGAAGGGTCACAACTTAATATGCACACGATGTATAAAAACCGAGCAATTCTGCAATTAGAAGCCAACAACTAAGCCGATAACCAACTCACCAAATCAGACCAATCAAGTGGATCCAATAATCAAGTGGATCCAAGTTAAATGCCTGTGCAAGATTGTCTTCCGCCTGCAAAGATCAAATTCAGTGTCATATGTGCCAAAATCATTGAACACTTTCTACATTGTTCAATAACAGCAACTTATTAGATATTGGCGTCTAGTACTAATAAATTGCACATTCAAATTATATAATAACAACGTGTAGTGATAAATGATCATAATAATTTCGCTGACGATAAATTCTATCGTACAAAACTGAAGGGTGGTCACAAACTCTCTTATGCAATGCTCCAATTATATGCATGGAAAGTTCCTCTCAACACACCAAGAGAACTTAACGCACCCACCAGTATGGTGCTCGATACATCTTTTGAGACTATTGCATCCTGTAATCCGTCAAGTATTGAACACAAGACTTACAGGTGCAGAGTGAACATAGGAAATAGGTGCCCACTAAATTTGGAAAGATCATAACCAGTTTTCAGACGGTGTTATACCTTATGATACTAATCCATGCTTTATTTCCAGCTGCAGAGGAAGATTCCAGATCACGATAAGAACAACATTATAAACAGAGGCCTGGATTTATATTAGAAACGCTATTGATTTGCATATGATGAGCCACTCTATCGATGTCATCAAGATTGATGAACTCTTCAGCCTGTGCGAACATCAAGTGAATGATTACATGAATATAAATCTAAAGCGAGTCAGGAGAATTTGTACTTTCTACGAAACATACAATACCTGAAGATGAGGCTCCATGTTGCCAGAGGTGATGTTGTTGGGTAAGTGCTTAAGTTTCTCTTTTTCACAGTCAACAACAGAGCTCTGAAAGACTATGCCAGAACAATTCGGTTTGGCCCAGTGAAAAGCATTTAGGACTAGGTCAGAAAAGTTTACTTTTAAACAACCACTGCGCTGACAACGAAATGAGTATTCATCTTCTAGAAACTTGATTCGGTCCTTACAGTCCCACTGCCCAATCTGTAGAAACAAAACTTAGTTTTAACAGTCCCACGTTGGTATTTCAAAATGTGGAAAGGTTTAGGGGGGGGAAAAAGGGCTCTCCACAATCTGTAGATACTATAGCTGCATGAACATCATAATGTTATTCCATACTACCGAACTGAATGAGATACAACAGTACGTGAAAGGAAATACGCATGGATGTTTGGTTGACAAGAATGATTGAACAAACTTCCAGATGCATAGATAGCTAATACTATACTTACGCCACAAAGAAAATGAAACCAAGAGCCAAACTTTTCCTTTCATATAGACAAATTTAAATCAAACAGGACTAATGATTTAGAAACAAATTCCACTAGTGGATATGTTTTTACACTAGGAGGAGCATCCATATCTTGGAAATCTAGTAAACAAACTTGTATAGCCCGATCAACAATGGAATCGGAATTTGCAGATTTAGATAAGGCTGGTGAAGAAGCCAAATGGCTTAGAATTTTTTTGGAGGATATACCTATTTGGCCTAAGCCTGTGACGGCTGTTTGTATACATTGTGGTTGTATGGCTGTCCAAGCAAGAGCCAAAAGTAATGCATACAATGGAAAGTCTAAACATATTAGACGAAGGCATAATACAATCAAGCAGTTGCTCTCAAATGGAATAATTTCCATTGACTATATAAGGTCAAAACAAAATCTTGCGGATCCGCTTACAAAAGGCTTGACAAGAGAGCAAATCAAACAAACATCGAGGGGAATGGGATATTTAAAGCCAATTCAATAAATGAATCGGCCTAACGGAAACCTAACCTAGCTTATTGGAGATCCCATGGTCTAGGTTCAATAGGCAAACTGGTTAGACATGATTCAAATAAGCTAACACACTTATATCTCATTCCTATGATGGAAAGAAGTGTGTTTTCTGCAAGAAGTCTATTAGGGTACGAAAGTTTAATGATGTTGATGTCTTAAAATCAAGATGAATAGACCAGACTATTCTTAGTCAACATTACCTATGTAGGAGTAAATGTGGGGTCGCATTTATGAGAATGAGATGGCTAAATTCTCTAAAGCTCCTATGAATCCATGATTTGTTCATGACCAAAATGAACACAAACGTATGAATAAGTGGTATGTTAAGATGTAACATATGTGATACTTGTTGTCTCGGTTTACTACAATAGGTGAACAGTTCAAGATTTTATATTCACTACGTCACCTAGTAAATCCGATAAGTATTCACTAGGGTAGGTTCAAGTCCAAAAGACACCTCTCCTGATGTGTGTTATATCTAAGTTTTCTCTCAAATATGCACATTATAATTTTCCTATACAAATGTGGGGTATTGTTAGAGTTTGTATAGGAAAAATACACTTGCATTTAGTCCCATATTGGAAGGGAGTTGTTTCCTTTTGGTTTATAAGCACCAGTACTTTAGAAATACTAAATAGGGTATGGGCCTAGTGGGCCTCATCATGGTTTGGGCTTGGAATATTGTTGAGGCCCAAAAAAGTCACGAGAAGCCCAAAAACATTCAAAGCCCAATATAACATATAATGTTGGTCGTGCGTTAATTCAAGCTGTATTTGGGAATTAATTTATTAAATAAATATATAAATAGTGTACATGCCATGCCAAATCAATAATACATTTTTCCTATGTCAATCACCTACCAAGCTCACATGAACCCAAGTCATGTGGTTTACGGGGCTTGCATGAGGGATTGTGGTGTGGAAGGTTACGAAGGTCCACAAGGCCCACGGAAGCTCTTGGATAATGGAGACTTTGGGCTAGCTA